AGGACCATTAGTGAAAAAAATTAAGGACCTATGAGCAAATGGGAACTGAATAAATTCAATTAAAAATATTCTATGCCTAAATTTCGCTTTTGTAATACCATCCTAAAAATAAAATAGATCCCTAAGTAGTATGCATTATTACTAAACATGAATTAACTAACACAATTATTAATAAGTTTGAGAATAAAATAAACTTTATGCAACTTATCAAGTAGCATTAAATATTTTACCTGTATAATATTTGGTTATATTTGAAAGAAGATAAGTGAGATTTATGTTTTACTAACAATTAGCTTTATGTTGATTTTTTTTATGTCTCATTTTGTCACACACTTGGTCAGTCTAGAGGTTTAGTAATTAGCAGGTAGATTTTATGTCAAACGGCATAGATTAAAACGAGAAGTAAGATCATAATCAGTCTGATTCATAACAAAAGATTGAATGTTTGTCACTGCTGCTGCTTGTCTAGAAAGAGACCTCCTGATTAGAACAAACCTGAAAGGTCTGATGTAGGCACAGTTGGCAAGTGTTGAATGTTAGTCAGGCTCTGCTTAATGCAGTCAATGTCATAGCTTTGTGTAGAGTTCCAGGGGTTGTAGCCCAGTTAATATACTTTAAGGTTCCAATAAGCCTTTTTTTTTTTTTTTTTTTTTTGCCCACCAGCAGCTGAGCGGTAAAGTCGCTGAACACTGGTAGTTCTGTCCGAGGTTCGAATCCCACGAACGGGCTGGCTGCATGGGTGTTTTTGTGGTTTTCCCCATGTGTAACGTGTATATGAGCCAGTTTCCCTTAGAAAGTCCTCCACAAAGGCATCCCTCCCCTTAGGCAGATAGCCCTAGTGTGCTTTGCCATAATTAAATACACCAATAAGCCATTAAAGCACCAGTGGTGATAAGTTGTTTTGTATATAGTTTTATATATAGTTTTACCTGAATTTTTACATTTTTGTGTTTTATCTTGTGACCACAGTGAGTATTTAATGAAAGACAGTAACTCGCTTTAATATGTAGAGATAATTTTTAAGGTTAAGTAGTTAGTTATAAATAATTAAATTAGGTAATTAAATAACCTTAGTCATTATGGATTTACATGGCCACTATTAAATTTTATTTTTTAACAATATTTCTTAAAAAAAGCCTTATTAAAATCAAAATCTAATAAAATTTCATAGTTTAAAATACATGTAATTTATGACATTGATTCTTAAATGATATTAGTATAATTACACATTAAAAGCTACAATACATTTATGTTTTGTAACAACAACACTCAACAAAATATTTATCCGTCATTTTAATTTGAAGCCTATAAGCTTTTTCTCCCACCTTCTTGGCTAGCCTTCGTAGTGTAGTGGTTTGCACACTGGGCCGGTATTCCAGAGTTCCGCTGTTCAATTCCCAGTGAAGGCGTTGTTAATTTTTTATCTTTCCTGCTTTCAAAAATACCTAATGTCTCTACAAACCTTCGCAAACATTTTGGCTAGTTTATATCGATTTCCTTCTCTTTAAGCATCTTTCCTAACAATTACAGATTTGTCTCAATATGCAAGCCAATGCTCTCGCTAGTTTCTCAATAAGTTTGAGAAACTATTGAGTGCTTTATCTCCTAACTTGTCAACCTCTCCACAATGTACCTATAAGAGCTTAATTGATCTGGTAAAAGTTAAATTGTCCAAAACCCCCGACAGACGTGAAGCATATTATTAATTATTAACTACAATATCAGACAAAGGTTTAAATAACAAGAACAGTCAAATTCAAACTAATTATGTGGATTAGTGGTTCAAAGATTAAACAATTTAATTTTAATTTAATCTGGCTCAATAACTATATCATATGAGGAAATAGAAATGGGAAATTATAGTAAAGGCTGAAATCATAAAAAATTGGGAAATTTACATAATAATAACTGCACATATTTAAAGAATAATTTCCTTTATGTATTCAGTTTCTTTTTTCAACACGTTTAGTTTTCACTTTAGAATTTTTGGATATAATTAAGGATTTCTGTTATTCTAAAAAACACTAAATGCATTTAGAATGTACAGAAAAAGCGGCTAATTTTATATTTTAGTAATATAAACATTCAGAATAAATATGAAATATATATAGCAAAGGCCGGTTACAGAGCTGATGTGTCAGAATTTCTAGAATTTAGTGACAGACCGAACAAAATCTAGAAATGGCAAAACTTTTAGAATTTAGAGCAGACATTGAAAGCAGGATTTAGAAAGGCATTGGGCAGCAGAATTTAGGATCCACAGAGATTGTACCAGATAGGAAAATGCCTAGTGCCAGCTATGTGTATGATGCATTAAGAAATATAAGATGAATCTTTTAAAATTGTAAGTTTTCAATGTCTTTATTAATAAAAAAAAAAAAAAAAACCCTTTCTATAATGCCTGCTAATGTGATAAGATTAGAAGCATTTTTGATATTTTCAATGCTTGTGTCAAGTGAAAAGTAGAGAAAATAAAGGGAAGATAAACATGTTAAGATTCTAGTATCAGAAGTAAAACATTCAAATATTATGCTTTCATTGTTCTTCCAGACGTTCTCCAAAAAGTAAGAAATTCATTGAAAACTTTCTGTAAAATACATCCATTACGTGTTGATACTATGGAGATATTTTCATTTTGTCATATATTTCTCGAATCTTCTAGAATCGTAGGTCTATAAATCTTGCCTTCAAATCTTTCTAAACTTTCCAAGCTGCAATGTCTAAAATCCTAAAGAAAAATTATCCCTACTGTTTCTGTAACAGCAAAAAGACAGAAATATTTTGGGGGAAAAAAAAAAAAAAAAAAAAAGGAGGGGAAAAGTATAAAATTAATTTTATAGAGAAAACTGATGCCCATTCTGATAATTTTGAATAATCTAAGAAAATTAGATGGTAAAAACTCTTACTATGAAAAAATTAAAAACAAGACATTTTTAATTGATTGCATAGCTAATTTTGCTTTTGCTAAGAGCTGTTTCGTAAACTGTGCTTTATAGCATACCTTGTTTATTTTTCAGATTCCAAATGAAACTTTATAATATGACAGCGAAAAATAAAAATGTTTTATTTTAACGTTCTTTTTTAAATATAATTTCAATATATTACCTGTTATTTAAATGAAATTTATCACTGTTACGATGTTTTAAAAAAAGTCGTCAAAAAATTCTCAGATCTCGGAATTAAAAATTTCTATTGAAACTAATCTTAAAATCGCCAAAATGTAGAAAAGTTGCCAAATTTAGAACCGTCTGATAAAGAATTCACATCCTCAAAAGCGAAAAGTTGTTTAAGAGCTCTTTATTAGGAAAACTGAATTTCGAAAGCTTATGTTTCACTTCTTGCTTAGAAACTCGAGTAATCCATCATTTATATTAGAAATAGAAACAAATTATAACTTATAAACCCATTCAAAAGATTTACCATATATACAGCAGTGAATCGCCAAAAATATTCCTCCAAAATGCTAATTCACACTCAAAATGGCAGTCGTAAAAACAGACAGAAATTTCAGATGATTAAAATTAAGGACCTTCTGCTGACTTTGGCCAAAATTAAGGACTTTTAAGGACTGTACGAACCCTGTCAAAGAATACCATGTACACAGCATTCTATTTAAACTTTAAAAAAATCTACGAATTGCACAATCTAGGCATTGCGCACAAATCAACCAAATAAACTAAACTAAATTACAAACAATTCAAAAAAAACAATAGCAACAGAAATTCATAGTTAAAAAAAAAAAAATGAAGATAACATTCTATAAAATAGAAACAGTAAAATAAAATGCACTTACCATAATACATTCCTGAATAAAATTTTGCCAGTCACACAACGTCTTTGAACAAAAGTGCCACGATTTTGCTATATCACATGTCATTCTGAGATTTAAAATTTCGAAAGTAATGATAAAAACTTCCTCCAAAGTTTACATACTACACAAAAACCACAATCCCACTGACAGCCACATACTTTACCAGCAACCATTTGACTGAAAATCCACACATGAACTATCATAAAACGCCCTTCTTTGCCCGAGTTTTCATAGCAGCTCTGCATTTCGAACTCCGTTTTAAAAGTCCCACAGAAATTCCAAAAATACACTTCAATGCTCATAAACACACCCATGAAAAAAAAAGACTCATTAACAACTCAAACATCGTACCTTTTAATACTAAATTTACTTTCCACACAATCTAAAATGTGCGACTGAAATCTTTCCACCACGTCTATCATTGCAACATAGGCCATTTCAAAACACGCACGACACGAACCAACGAGCAAATTAAACCACTCCAGCAAAAGATTTTTTAACATCAACAGGGTTGCCATACAACACGCAATTGCGCCAAAAACCAGGGCAGAACACATATCCCCACATTTGGTGATATTAGGGTGCATATAAGAGTAGAGCCGAAAGATGAAAAATATGCAATGCTTTCACTGCGAATCGAACCACGGACCTCTGGAATACACACCCAGCGTACAGACCACCACACCACGAAGGCATGCCAAGAAGGTGGGAGAAATACATTATAACTTGTTCAGTTAAAAATGCTGAAACATGAATATTTATGTCATTTGCAACCTTTTTGTAACTGGAAGTATATATTTACAGTCAACGGGTGTGATAATAAAGGGCAAGTAAGGTATTTTTCAGAAAATGTGTGCAATAACACAAATCTAAAGTCAGTTACAATACTATATCAAGAATTTTTTAAACATATAAAATTATATTTATTTTTAATTTATATAATTAAGCGTACATTCATAAAAATATCCTAATACTTTACTTTGTACTTTATTTCTGCTTGTACTGAAAAATTATACTTTAATTTTGATTAACCAGAAAAATTATAACTACGCATCTTCATCTTAAATTACATCAGTGATTAAACTACTTTTAATACACAAGTTTAACAAAAAATTTCACGATTTTATATTTTTAGATAAAAATTTCACAACAATGACTGAAAATTTCTCATACTATTTCTATACAAAACCTTTTCAATGCCCTTAAAAGTTGAGAACATATATCCTTTATTTCATTTTCATCTTTACTGCCTCCAGCTACTTCATGTAACATTTCTCCGATAGCTTCATATATGTGATCTGATGATTCAAATTCATTTTTATTTTCATCCAAAACACCTGTTAATGAAAAAAAGCATATTATCATTATTGTCTTTGTAATTTAAAAGTTAATACTCTGCAAAAGAAACAAATTTTAAAACTAAAAAGTGTACATTTTATTAACCTAATGATATAATTAAAATTACAATGAACTGTATAATTTTGAGAGCAGCTTGAAGATGTTGCTTTTTTTTTACTTGTAAAATATATTTCAATGGCTGAAGAACTACATAGCTTTTAACAAAATTCTAGAGATGTTTTAATCTTCCAATCAAACATACACAGCAAGAAATTTTATCTGATACAAGCAATTTCTGACCTTTCCAATAGAAGCTAGCTAAGATTTTCAGCAGCTGGGGACAATTGAAGATTCTAAAACTAAAAAACTAAACTCAGTGGTGGCAACAGCCCTAGTGGGCCACGGCCTGCAATGCCCTTTTTCTGCTTTCTTGACCTTTGGGGCTTGGAGTGCATCAGAATATGCCTTGGACAAATGGTCAGCTTGTTGCAGGATCCCCCCCCCAGTATTTAGTCCCCAAACAAACTTGGTACTTATGTTCTTGACCCAATTAAGGGATTAAAAACTGTGTCAACCTTGCCCAGCCCAAGGATCGAAGCCTGAACCTGTGGTGCAGCTGCGCGAAATGCTAGCCACTTTGCCACCGGGCACTCACTGAAGATTCTGCTATTTACCAAAATGCAATGAATCTTTTAAATTAATGTCTCTTTGATGGTATGTTACCCTTAGTTACATCACTGTTTTTCAAACCAAACAAATATACAGGATCATCAAACACGTAGATACAGGACGGGACATCAGAACTTCACTACTGATCTCACGGGTATAGTAATAACATGCTGACTATGCAGTTTCAATGCAGTTTTGAGAGAGAATGCCTCCCGGGATGGTCTGAAGATCTCCTACCCTTCATTCCCTATTACCAGCTTTCAAGAGGACTAAGCTTTTTAAGTGCTCGCTTGCAGCATGGACACTATATGGTTATAAATAAGCATCACATCAGCTAAGATATTCTCCAGTATAAAAAATCCAATATATAGAGCCATCTTTATAGTACTAATATACTGTTTCATATAATATGGAAATTTGCCACTGCAAAAAGTGCAAAAATGACCATACCATGGAACTGGATCTAAAAATACAGTGGCAAACTCTAACAAACCCATTTGTTTCTCTTATATTTGTTAAGTCTTCCCCCTCTTAAAATCATTTATATTGTGCCTTTCCATATCTTCAAAAACAGGTTATATTGTCTTAAAAATCAAAAATAATCCCCCCCTCGGGTGGTTACATCTTTAATATATTTTAAGTACAAAAGTAATTTTAAGAATGTTTAAAAAATAGTAAAAGCGTTTTCATAAACAACAAACTTTTTTTCCTCTAATAAGGTCTGCAGAGTAATTTATAAAGATGAATTATTGCCCCTTTCAATATTAAATAATTTTCTCCTTAACAGTATAATCGACACTCTAATAAAAATTAATATTTACTTGATAAAAATATTCAGATTCATACTAACAAAAACTTATTGATGGGTCCACAAAATAATTTGCACAATTCAGACAGCCATTTTCACAACCATCAAGCAATGAAATAAATATATAATCTCAGGCATATATATTTAATTATTAAACTGATTAACTCGATTAATATTATATTCCACAAAATGAGATTTTAATTAATGCAGAAATACTTTATTTTTTCATTCATACTATTTCTTCTTGAGATGAGAAATAAAAAGTTTGGTTAAAATTCTGATGTTTATAAAATGTTTATTTATTACATATAAATAAATAAATGTATAGAAATGATTAAAAATTTGTAACAAAAAATATGAAGATTACGTTAGAAAACTAAATACGAACATTCCAGGTACTGTTTTTAAGCAAAACATTCAGTAACATTTATAAAAATAACTAAATGCATAATTAAGTGACAACATTCATGAAATAATAAAATGTTTACATAAGAAAAAAAAAAAAAGATACATTTTGGCGCATTACAAACTTGAAGTAAATATCACAAATAATTTTTCGATGGTGAAATCGTTACATACATACTAAAATGACGTTCTACTTATAATACAGTTTTATAAATTAAACTACGTATCTTTAACACAGCATGCAAATTAACTTCAGAAGTTTAAACGATAAAAAACTAACTTACTTTCAATATAAGTGTAAAGTTCTGTGTCTATACTTGGAAAAGCAGTAACTAAAATTGAATTTGCTTCTGTTAATGCCATTAGTTGGGTTTAAAAATAAATACATCAATTTCGCGAACACAATTTAGTACCGAAAACAGATGACAGAAAAATCTAAGCACAGGAAAGAGCAGAGGAAATTTGCTTTCATACATATTGCCATCTCGGCAAATGTAAAAGGAAATAAATATAAATAATAAAGGAAATTAATATAATTAATAATAAATATTTTTTACACGTTTAGCAAAAAAATTATCTTTACAATGTGTTCAATTTATTACTAAAATAATATAAAATTAAATGAATTCTATACGTTTCCCCAAAGAATTAAAACTATCATCATCTCTTTAGTAGATATATATTATTGATATTTAGCATATTATTCATAAAAAATGGAAATTAATAATTAGTTTTTTACTTAGAAAAACAAAAAGCTAAATAATGAAAAACTGAAAATGACATAAACAACAACTATCCCTGCGTTTTTTATAATTATTTCAGATTCCCATGTGGCGGCAAACTCAATTCAACCGCATAAATCGCAGTTCTTGTTTACCTTAATATTTGGCGGTTTTGTTTTGAATGTAATGATGAGTTATGGGAGAGATTTCTTGAAGACTTTAAAAAGGCTTGATGTTCCAAACTTAAATAAATATGAAGACAGTGATTTTGATCCTATGTTTAATGAGAAAAACTTAATTTCATTTCTGCAGTGTTTTTGTTCGTTAACACAAGATAATGTTTTGACACCGGAAGAGATTGCAGAGTATGTTACAGAGATATTTTTAGTGCAAAATGATGCCATGGTGTAAAAATAGACAATTTTCCTTTAACTTATTTCAACAACCATGATATTAAGTTAAAGACAAAATGACTAATGCGACATTTTATCCATTACATATTCAGTTGCATATAAATTATGAGAAAAAATTTTTAAATACAGCTTTAGTGTTAATTATAATATTGAGAACTTATTTGAATATAATTATATTTGAATCTATATTTTAATTTATGATGGAATGATCTTAAGATTTTATTCCGTGTTCGCTTTCCTGTGATACTGGATGTTATAATTGACCAAAACATCTTAAAACAGATACATTGCTTTATAATAATGCTTTTCCTCTTTTCTTTGTCACGAATCATGCTCATTTTCCTGTCTTAGCTGCTATTTGAATAAATACTTTTTTAATGTAATTTTCGTGTTTTTTTTATATCAGTGGACTGCACTAGATAATTGATTAGAAGTTTGTAGTAATTATAAGTAGGTAACAAACAATAGTGGTTAATAAAGGTCTTGGGTTTTTTTTGTAGAAAAGATTGCTTCATGGATTGACACGAAATATCGATGTTGATACCATTTTATCTTAACTTAGAATTTTTTCCCCAAATGTAATATCAAGTACTTTTTTGTTAGATGCCAATGTTATCCTTAAATTAAATCTGATTGGAACTTCTTAGTTTAGTGATCGAGGGCTTTGTAATTTGTGGTATCTATAACTACAAATCACGTATTTTGAACTCTTGAAATTGTAACTGTCATTGTTTTTGTTAGCTAGCTGTCCCATTGTAATCATTGTTCCATCATTTCCGCAAAAATGTATGTCTAAGATAAATCCTAATTTTTTTCCCATTTAGAGCTAAAAGGCAAGAAAGCTGTTAGTAATTGGTGTGTAAATGAAGGTTTAATTAGTTCTGAGTATGAATGACCATAATATATATAAGATATGTGTCTAGTCAAGTATAAGGATTGACTGAAAGGCTATGAATTTATCTTTCTTTAGAAAGGTTGTAGAGCTATTAGGTTATTTCAAGAGTAGAAGAGATGAAAAATAAGCAATGCCCTTGCTGGGACTCGAACCACAGACCTCCTAAATATACATCGAGCGTACTGACCACTACATTACGAAGGCAGGAGAAATACCTTATATACTCCCCTTTTTAAAGGTTGACTGATATTTTAGGGGATCCAATCACCAAATTATGGTGGAGAATAATCATCTACCACTTTTTTAGTTCGGGCGCCACTGTAGAGACATTAAGTTTTTTCAAAGCAGGAGAGATGAAAAATTAGCAGTGCCTTCTCCGGGACTCGAACCACGGACCTCTCGAATACACATCGAGCATGCACTACAAAGACATGCCAAAAAGGTGGGGAAAATATTTTATAAGGGGAAATACTGATCATTGATAAGAGGGGGTATATTATTTGAAAAAAGCAAGATGAGTCTAACTTCTATTTTAATTTTAGTTATTTTTGGGTCCATGAAGTGGTTGGAACAAATCTACTTATGAATGAGATGAATCAATGTTCAAATAAAACTCTAACTGATTGGAGGAATTTTTGTAGAGAAGTGTGTATATATACACATGTGTAAAAAAGAGTGAAATGATTGGCAGTCCTTATGTGGCTGTGGAGAGCAATTTTAGGAAAAGGAAGTATAACAGGAGTAGAAGAGTGATGTTCAGTGGTATTTAGAAGAAGAAAAGGAAGGCCTTTTTTTTTTTTTTTTTTTTTTTTGGATTGCGCGAAAGAGACTTGGATGATTGTTGAATCATATCTTTCTTCATATCTGAAGCCACAGTAATCACAGACTGCTCGAAAACCTATGATTGCCTCAGTAATCGAGGCTTTTAGCAATTACTACCTGATTTACAAAAACCTTGGTACTGTTGCCCATCAAAACTATTGAGGGTATGTGGAACCATATTAAGCAGGAGTCTCCTGCAGTCATTCTCCCCATGTATAAAACTGTTTTCACCCCCTCCAAAAAAAGCAGAGAATTATTCAAATGCAAACTTGGCATTGCACACCTTGATCACAATCACTGAAAAACAGTTGAAACCTCAATGAAACTTCTCAACATTAGAAATCACATAGCAGTGCATGGTCAGAAGTGCTTTTCTGGCGTGGTAGTGACAACACAGAAGTCAAGAAAGAAAGGACATGAATGGGGGTGAGGAAACATGTTTATTATTCGGAGTACAACAAATACAAAGAAAAAACAACATAAAGAGACTATTATCATCATCAAAGGCATTCAAAATTATGACCCAGACCGTCATGCATCTTCCATGTGATTTTCTATTCGTGATGCAGATCTTCCATCCGCCAGAGAAATGAGGCCTGTGTAATGGTCCGTGGTCGTAATTTTGAACACCCTCTTTAATTATGATTGTTGTTTGTTTTTCTTCTTATTTGAAGGTTTCTGCTGTACTAATCATAATGAAATACATTTTGTCTCACTGTTTGTGTCCTTCCTTTTTTGCGTTGTCACTATTGTGCCAAAAAAGCATTTTCAACCATGCATTGTTATGTGATTTCCGATTGTCTGGGTGTACTCTATCTTTCCTGAAAGTTTGTCACCACTGTACCAATACACCCTTTATATATTATCTGGTGACTTTGTGCATGACCGTTTTATGGCTTTTCAATGGTGGTGAATACAATCAAAAAGTACCTTTATTTCTTTGTTTCAACATGTGACTACATTTCAAAAAATCATTTAAGTTATATTTCTTAATTACAACTTTCATAAACTACAGTACAAAGTCCGTATTCCGGACTCGTTGGGACTTCGGCGATTTCCAGATTAAGGGTTTTTCTGGATTATAGATCATCAATTTAAATCTGGTAAGATGGCATTCAGAAATTATACAATTAAAAATATGAAACCATAATTTATGAAATGAAGAGCAATTATGATCTAAAGTGTATCAAAATTTAAAAAAAAAAAAAAAAAAGGGCTTAATATTTATTTATTTACTTTATTAAACATTTCTTTCAATGTAAGTTGTTTAAGTTGCTTCATTTTTGTGCTAAACGCATTACGCACATGCGTAAAGCATACAAAGGATTACAGACTTTGTACTGTATAATATTTCTTTTCTGTATTTAGAGTAGTTCTCATATATGAAAAACTTATCCCCAGAATTATGTATTTATTACAAATAGCATTTATTTTATCCTATTTAGATATTCTTCTTTGTCACCTGCAGAATTGGCCAGATATGAAATTTTGTTGAAAACTGAAGATGTACAGTATCCTGAAAAGTTTGAGTCTGAGAAACGGTAATACTATTTAAAAGTTTAATTTCATATATATCATCTACACACATTCACATATACACTATTTTTAAATATAATTGTAATGCTAAAATAAATATTACTAAGAACTAATTTGTTAAACTGATCAAAGTTAATATTAAACACCTTTAAATTGTGAATACAAACAGTTAGGATTGTTTACTATGTTTTTGCCAATGTTCCACTGAGATTGCTTGCATTTTCATTTTAAAACAGAACTATGTCGGATACAAACAAACCATTATTCAAACTGAAATAGTCATTTATGGCCAAACTTGTTAAATCTGAGAATGTGGTGTTTCTAAATCTTGAAAACCTTAATTTTATTTTATAATTTTATCTTAATAAGTTATCTTGAAGTTATTTCAAATAAATGATTATTGATACAGTCAAAAGTCATTAATTCGGACACCCATAATCCGGACGTCAAAGCTACAAACTTTCTGCGTCAATGCATTAAGTGTTCATGCATGCGCGTAATACCTTTAATACTTTTATGCATGCGCGTTTAATGTATAGTGGACGGTATAAGCTAAGCTAAAATTATCTAATTATCTATTTTATTTAATGTTGCAGATTGTGTTGTTCCTTAATCTTTGAATGGGATCTGGCTTATTATTTTTCGCACACTGTTAGAGCAATTTTATAAAAGTGAGCTTGAACTTTCAATTATGTCAAATAGAATTTCTGATATATATTTACTAATATGTAAAGGATCTACAAAGCGAAAGTATGTTTCAAAGTGCATTAAACAAAAAGTGGAATTGCAGCAAAAAATGGATAAAGGCATATTCTTTGTTTATCTAAACTTTAACATTTGTTTATCTTTAACACCGCGGCACGCAATGCATTGGAAGTTGAAATGTCAGCACTATCCTTATCTTCAGGGCAGATGTTTTTATTTTTATTTGGCTTATAATTCCTTACTAAATGTAGTATTTCATCTCGATGTACTCCGTCTTTGATATGATTTAAATCAAATTCTTCGTCATTATAATTCGCTTCCGATACTACAGAAAGTGACACAGAGGTTATTGAAAACGAAAAAATTTTGTTTGACAAATTAGTCGGTATTCTCAACACAGCAATTATAGGACTTGAACAGCGGAACTTTGTAACTGAACAAGAAATTATGTCTGTTTATAGAATTAAAGAGAAAGTACAGTCAAAAGTCGTTAATCCAGACTCATCGGGACTTCGGCGATTCCAGATTATCGATTTTTCCGGATTATAGATCATCAGTTTAAATCGAAGATGGCATGCAGAAATTCTAAAATTAAAAATGTGAAACCATAATTTATGAAATAAAGAACAATTATGATCTAAAGGATATCAAAATTTACAAAAGAAAGCTTAATATTTATTTGTTTACTTTATTAAACATTTCTTTCAATGTAAGTTGTTTAAGTTGCTTCGTTTTATGTGATAATACTTTCTCTTTAATTCTATAAATAGACATAATTTTTTGTTCAGTTACAAAGTTCCGCTGTTCAAGTCCCGTTAATTGCTGTGCCGAGAATACCGACTAATTTGTCAATCAAAATTTTTTTGTTTTCACTAACCTCTCTGTCACATTCTTCATGTCTTTATCCATTTTTTGCAGCAATTCCCCTTTTTGTTTGATGGGCATCGAAACATACTTTCGTTTTGTACAATCCTTTGGGAGCTCCAGATTCGGAAATTCTATTTGACATATTCGAAAGTTCAAGTTTACTTTTATAGTATTGCTCTTACAGTCTGCAAAAAATAATAAGCCGGATCCAATTCGAAAATTAGGGAACAACGCAATCATCAACATTGACTGAAATAGATAATTAGATAATTTTAGCTTATACCGTTCGTTATACATAAAACGCGGACGCGAAAATGTATTATGCGCTTGCGCACACGCAAATGCGCAGTCGTAAGAAGTCTTACGCGCACGCGTAAATGCCTATGCGCATGTGTCAACGCAGCGCATGCGCAGAAAGTTTTTAGCTTTGAGGTCCAAATTATGGGTGTCCGAATTAACGACTTTTGTCTGTATTATCACATAAAATGAAGCAACTTAAACAACTTACATTGAAAGAAATGTTTAATAAAGTAAACAAGTAAATATTAAGCTTTTTTTTTCTTTTCTTTTTTTTTTTTTTTTTTTTGTAAATTTTGATACTCTTTAGATCATAATTGTTCTTTATTTCATAAATTACGGTTTCATATTTTTAATTTTATAATTTCTGCATGCCATCTTACCAGATTTAAACTGATGATCTATAATCCGGAATCGCTGAAGTCCCGATGAGTCCGGATTAAAGACTTTTGACTGTATACATATTGGGTTTTAATGAAAGTTTCCTGCCATCACAAATATCGTCTGCACAAACAGTTTGCGTTGGCTTCTTTAATCATATTTTGTCGAATGATTTTTGGCATTTGAAAGAAAGAGACTTGCTTTAGAACACTGTGCTGTAAAATCTGTAAAAAAATATGGTTAACATTAAGTACAAGGTCTGAAATGGAACTATCATGCTACCAGATTAGAACCATCATTTATTTCCAGTTCTTTTGCAAAACGTCAGCTAAAGAATGTCACTGAATCATGTATACATCTTTAGGTACTAATGTTGTATCGTATGACAATGTGAAGGTTTAGTATCGAAAATTCAAAAACAAGGACTATGACATTCAACAAGCAGAGCGCTTTGGCCAGCCTGCTGATGTTGCTGAGGCCCACCTGCGGTAACTTGGGGAAGATCAGTGTACTCGAGAGTTTGCTAAGGAATTAGATGTTGTGCCATGTCCATTAGTCACGCTATACGTTGCTTAAACTTGACGTTCAAACTGACGATTTCAATCACTGGGTGCCACATGAGCTGACTCAAGCAGATAAGGGCAGATGTGTTCGGGGCTGCACTAATCTTCTATGATATCAAAGGAGAAAATTCTGGACCGAATCTTCACTTGTGATTAAAAGTAGGTTTACTTCAACTCCACACTCTGTGCTTGGTGAGCCCATTGGCTGCATCGCAAAGCTCAATTTGACTAACAAAAAAGATCATGTTTTGTTTTTGGTTGGCCTGCCATAGTATAATGCACAAAGAATATCTGGAAAAAGGTAAAAACCTTAGAATGTAAGGTGTACAGTGAGATGCTAGTCAGTGTTGATGCTGCTATCAAAGAAAAACATCGAACTGAGTTTGAGTACTAAAAAGTAATATTCCATCAAGATGATGCAAGACCACAGGTGTCTGCATTCACTGGCTGGAGTCTATATGAACTCGAATGGATGTATATTCTATATATATATATGGATCTTTTGCCACAGCCATCATATAGCCCCGACATTGCTCCTTTGGACTTCTATCTTTTTTCACATCTGCAGCTACATCTTTCTGGTGTTATATTCCATTCTGCATATAATGTGATTGATCTGTTTTTGTACTTGCGGTTGCATAGAATGTGGTTGATCTGTTTGTACCTGTAAAATGTGGTTGATCTGTTTTTGGATTTGCTGCCACAAAGTTTCTGGGCCAAAAGCTTTGAAAGACTACCAAAACGCTGACAGAAAAAAAAATTTTTTTGAATAACTTTAGTAAGAACTTTTTTTGGCAGAAAACTTTCATTACAGCCAGATATTTTAAATTAATTAATATACATATTTTAATTGCCAAAATTGGAGAATGTCGACTTTCACCGGAGAATATCAACATTCACCAAATATGTTGGTGAAAGACCGAATATTTCACTACATTCTTGTATATTCGGACCTTCACCGGTGTATGTCGACAATCACAGATATGCTCTGGTGAAAGTTGAAAAGAGAGGTCATAAAGTGCCATAACAGTTTAAGTTGTTGCAATAAATAAGATTTGAATCACATCATTTAGTAAGTTTTTTATTACTGTTATTTTATTTTCTCATTTAACGTACTGTATAATTAAGTAAGTTTTTAACTTCTATTATTTTCCTTTCTCATTTTGAATGTATTGTGTGTTTTAGGTTCTCATGTTCTTAAGTTCTTGTTTCAAGTCTCAAGTGCATTTATTCGCGACTGAATTACGGAAAAGAAAATATAATATTGTTATATGTTCAACATTCACCATTAGTACATGGTGAATGTCGACATTGACCGGTGTAAGTCAGAAATAAGAGTATTTGGAAAATATTTCAGACATACACCAAGAGACTATGTGAATGTTGACATTCTCCAGATTTCGGTGTTTCACCATAACATATATATATATGTGTATATATGTGTATATCTGTGTTTGTGTATGTATGTGTATATCTGTGTTTGTGTATTAATATTGTCGTGTTTTATTAAACTTTTTTTATTCTTTGTTATTTTTAGTAAATTGAACAAAGTATAATTTTTTTCATTAAAAAAAAGTCCATTTAAATTGCTGATAGCACTACTTTTAAAGATCAAATGAAATAAACAAATCTATATAATAATACATTAAAAATTATTGAAAACCGATAACAAGCTGATAAAATATGCAGTTGTAAGTTAGTTTGCTATGAGCCAACTAATTCCACATTCTCATTCATTTTCTGTAAACAAACTATTTTTGATAAAAGATAAACAAACTATTTCTTGATTCTTTATTCACGCCAAGACCGGCACCAGAAAGGCAAAATTTCAAGATAGCCACTACATAAAGCCAAAGTAAGAAGTCAATGAATTGCACAAACTCGATGCCCATGTACACGGCGATCTATTTTCACTTGAAAAAAATCATCAGAGAATTGCACAAACTAGGTATTGCGCACTGCCTTAACTTTGTCCATGTACACATCGGTCTCTTTTCACTTAAAAATCAGGAATCTAAAAAAAAGTTAAAACTATCCTGGTAACCAGAAATGGGATTTCATCGCCAAAACTGAACAAAATTTGTTGCTAATCGAAGGGGCACCCAATTCTACACTAGAGCCCTATTTTTTTTTTTTTTCCCTCATTAATTTACTGCTATTGCTATCTGTATTGAGAGCACAAATGTGGCTTGAAGCTTATGCGTACAAATATACATTGCCAGTTTTCTAACTAAAGGATATGGCAAATTAACTTAGAAGATTGTATTTTTGAAAAGTAGCTTTCTAAATTAAATCTCTGATGTAGAGTAAAACATTACTTAACCAAAATTAGGAAAAATTAAAATCGAATCAGTTAGCCATGAACATAGTCATATTAATTTTTTATCAACTTTTTCCATCTTTTTTCATGTCTTCCTTATTAAGAAATGGGCACATGTTTTATTATGTACAAAGGAAATGCAGTAGCATGCAAAAATAGTGGACTGTGAAATTTAAGTTCAAGAGTTGAACTTTAATTAACTATATTTATCAATAGATTGTTAATTGAAATTCCAGTTACATTAAAATAAATGCATAACAAAAGCAGAACTAGCAAAGATTCCTATAAATTTCAGTACTCTTCTATTATCGGGACCAGATTCAGAAATGAATGTATGTATGCACATATGGATGGATATATGTGTTCATGTATGCATGTATATAAGTATGTATGTGTATATGCACACATTTCAACACATACATGCACATACATACGTACATACATACATTTCTGAATCTGTTCCGAATAACAAAATAGTACTTAAATTTCTTGTAAGAATATTCCACATGATTTTTTAATTTTTGTTGTTAAGTATTTGTTTACAAGTGTTTTTATTTCTTATACATAATTTTAAAAGAGATCTTGAAATTTTTTATTCAAAATGTGTTAGAAAATTAGACTTTTGTTGAAAATAATATGCATAATTATGAGCCATTTTAATTTTTTTTAAATAGAAAGTAGGTTAGCTGGAGCTATAAAAAACAAAGTCTTACTGAAAATTACGCTATCCCAAGTTTAGTTTAGACAAATGGGATTTTACTGTAATTAAAAAAGAAAAAAAAGAAAGAAAAAAAAAAAGATTTATTTTTCACTTATTTGTACATTTTTAGTTATTACAATAAAACTTTTTCACAACAATATATTATCATTATAATCTACTTAATTGTACAGTTTTAATTTTCATTGGTAATATAAAAAGTACAATAAATAGTATCATTCTTCCTTCTCCTTGTCCCAAAACAGTAATTTTTGGTTTATTAGAAATAATTTATTGTATATGTTTTTCTCATTTTTCTAGAGAAATAAAATTTCTTGAAGAACATCTGTCACAAATTGAAAGCCATAATAAAATTCTTGAAAACCAGAAAGAACTTGCTAAGTAAGTAAAACAATTACTTTGCATAACTAATAGTTAAAAGATTTCAAAATCAAAAAGGCAAATCATTGCTTATCAAAAATTATTTCCTTTTTTCTCAGATATTATAATGCATTTTAACATCAACATTAGTTCCCACCCCCATAAAGTATTTTTTATGTATAAAGCATTTGAAACTGAGGAGATTATTTTAGTTTAAGCGTCATTTCTGTGTTATCTGATAAATGCAATGAATTTTAGACAATACGAAGAACATCTTTACCAAGAGAAAGAAGCCTGTGCTAAAGTACTTCATGGTGTTCGATGTCAGTTCCAGGATTATTCTGTGTCCAAAGTTCCCAAACTGGAAGCAGAGGTATAAATATTTTAGGAGATTGCTTTCTAGTTTCAGATTATTAATAAATCAGTGGTTATTAAATTTTGATTTCTTCATTAAAAATTTTTATCTTGTCTTGATTTCATTTAAAAATGAATAATATTGGTACATAAGTTTAGCTTATTCAGAAACAGTTATTATTATTATTAACTGCTCTTGGTCTCCTGGTAGATTATAAAATCTACTAGTTTATAATTTTTAACCTTAACTGAGGAAAATGTTCCCATACAGGAAATGAAAATTTATTGAATTCACGGAATTTAAATTGTTAAAATTCCATTCTTCCATCCCTTCTTTTAAGAATAATTTTTCTTGTAAAATTTTTTATGAAGATTCAACCAATTTTTAATCAGTTAATATTTGTGTCTAATTGCATTTATCATTAAATGGTACATTACTAATTTTATCTATTTAATAGGATGTACATTAATTATTAATTTAATTTTCAATATATTTAAAAGTACTTTGATAAGTGAAACTTTTCTTCCCTACATCAGATTTCCTTAGTAAAGAAGACTGCAAAATAAAATTTCCAAAGAATATAAATTTTAGACTATCTTATTAAATAATTATATATTTTACATTAGAATCATATAAATATTTCAATATCCATGATGATGCATCATATAGTGAGTTAGGAGTTCTTATGAAATGGCATTGTCCTACTGTGAGAAAACTTCCCGTAAACCCTTGAATTTTTTTTAGTTGAAAATCAGCAACACAGGATTGACATAGTTGGTGCAAAATCACCCATTTGGTGACAAAATTTGTGATTTGCCATAGACAGATGGAGAACATTCTAGAACAAATTCTTACCAGTTTGGCCCAGAATGTTCTCGAAGGCAGGCCAAAACCTATATAAACACTGCCTGTATGCAGAGTAGCAATATATCATAGTGTATTATTGAGCTTTATCTTGAGTGTGTTGAGGTCCGAGAACAATCGACTGAGTCGGAAGCTGTACTTTAGTATTTTGCCGTGAAGTTGTCTTTACCGTTATAACTTGGTAACCTGAAGGCTTTGTTGCTAATATTTCAGCATGTTTGCCATGGTTTTTTGACAGCTGTAACCGTGTTTTTGGAACTGTCCTGAATAATACTTGCTAAATAAACTGTGTTTTGATTCTTCATCAAGTATTATCATCAATCACTCCAAATCCACAAATCCATAGAATGCAAGAATATAATTATAAAGTTTACGTTTAGGTTCTGACAAGTTATTTTATGTTAATCATCTTTCTTAGCTTCACATGAGGTAGAAATAAAAGAGTATTTAATGAAAGGTTTTAGAGGGTAAAATCAGAGTGTGTTCTGCTTGCTTGAAGGCCACATTGCTGCTTTGATTCTCTTCATAGTATTCTATGGCCAATAAGGCTTGTTTATACCAACCTTAGGTCAGAATCAGCTTGCACATTATTCTGTTTGTGCAGCCATTGGGCTAACTTGCTTGTCTTAGTTTTAGTGTCTTTGATTTAAGACATAATTGCTGGCTTCTGTAAGCAGGAGAGGCACCATCTGTTAAATTTCATCTTAGTCAAATAATAGGTCCATTACACACTTTCTCTTTCTGGCACATAGAAGACATACATCTCTCTGACATAATCTCTGGTACATAAAAAGACATAATCTCTGGTACATAAAAAGACATAATGATAATTCATTATTCTTAAGATTTCTTGTACATTTTATGTTACCAAAGAACACGAGATTCTACATTTTAAATAAAATCTATGCAGTTTTAAAGAAATGTTTCCTTGCTTTAAAAAATGGCAATGATGTAGCATACTATCTGTTGCTTTTAATTAGATATGTATTTCTTATGTGGTGCCATTAAAACTGTATTTTTAAATACAAAAATAAATGCAAATAATTTTTTTAATAAATGAAAACGGCTCTATTTATTAATTTAATGACCTATACATTTTTAACCAATTTCGTTTTCTTGAAATAAGAAGTCTTATCTCTTAGAAGAAAGATCTGAAATAGATAATTATTTCAGAACCTGTATGAATTCTTCATAATGTTGATTTTGACTGTTATTCAAAAGTTGTTTTTAAAGTGACATCAAATATCTTTCAGTAACTAATAATAATGATAGAGTTTCATTTGTTATTAGTAATTAGTTGGTCAGGACTTTCTTGAGATATCATAAGGAAATTTTCTAAAATAGAAATTTGAGATATTCAGTTGCATAAATGAAATTAAGGTGAATTTTTCAAGCATTTAAATGTTTTTCGTGAAATTAGTGAAACATTTAAATTCTTAGTCACAGCAACAAGTAATTATTCTACACTCATAAATAATGAGAACAATGAATTATATGCACTTTTAATGAAGAGATGACATGAATATTTTCTGTTCTGTTCAAAAATAAATCCAAGCATAAAGTTGCATTTTAATTAGCAGTTCAAGTCAACAAACTTCCATTTAGAGATTTCATATATTATTTGAAAAAGCTTTTCTAGATCTAAAACATAAAACAAATAGCAGAGCAAAAAAATAGAAAGTTTTAATTGGAATTTCTAACTAAAATAGAACCACAGCAAATTTGAAATAACAGCATTTCAAAACACGATCTCCTAATGACAACAACACTCAGTGTTGTCAGAACTTATCAACTAAATTATATATTATTGTTGTTTCCTTTTTAAATACTTTTATATACTTTAATAATTTCCCTTTCCAATAAAAAAAGGGAACAATGATAATAATAAATTGGAAGAGAAAGTCACAAGAGTCGCATCTTATTACAAAGATTCAACAGTCTCGATTTAAATAGAGGTTTAGTCATTATATCAGCAACTTGCTTCTGTGTAGGTATTTGCTGTACAGTGATTTGCATGTCTAGAACTTTCTCTCATATGAAAAGTGTTTAATATCAATATGTGTTGTATGTCAATGAAGCTTAGAATTTTGTGACAGTCTCCCTAAGCAATGTAATCTAAACTTCATGTAACTTCGTAACATTGTTAAATAGTCACTCTAACCAAATTGCTGCGCTCAAACACTCTCTAGATGCAGTTATCATGAATTGCTGGCACAGTAATTGCTTTATTTGTCAAAATTGCGACAACTGAAGCCAAACTGCCTTTGGCTAATCCATAATATAGCTCCACCACTATATAATATCACTACTGCAGTTGTACATTTCCGTCTTTCTTGACATCCTCTGAAATCTGCATGACTATATCACTCCAGTATTCTTGGTTTATTCTTGTATCATTTATTCTTTATGTAACATCTTTATTAAGAGAACCTGTATGTATCCGAATACACTTTTCACTTTGATCCAGTTGTCTTTTGAAGAACTTTCAAGGTGGCTTGAAAGAATGCTGCCACGGTAAGCTTTGTTTTTAAAGCTGTGTTAGAAATTGTCAAAGGAAATTTGGTGAAGACAGGAAATTTTCCAGTAGATGTTCCAGTTGCTCAACAAGAGAAATACAGTGAAGTTTTAAGAAGTTTAAATATGCAAATGTAATAGCATTAATGAATTCTATTAGAGAAGAAAACATTAAAAAATTTATGAGATATCAGACAACTAGCAGTAATAAAATCCAAAGAAACTACCTAAATGATTTTTGAAATTTAATTTTTTCACTTTGTACTCTAGATAGAAATCATAACATAATATAGCATCTGGTTTTTAACATACTTTTATATTATTCAGTAGTTTTCGATATGAAAGAATGAGAATGATGGCAAACTCAAAGTCTTTTTAAGCTTTTCTTCTAAATAAAAATGAAATCCGATGAAACTGTAACTGGTTAATATTTTCATCATTTGTTGATAACATCAATTGCTCTCTCTCTATATATATAAGCAATTCACTTTTGATTTTAGTTTTGGTTTTGTATAATTCTTTGCCCATGCCTATATGGATGACAAAACATGAAAATTCTTTAAAGTTTTTAAAATTAATTTTTGGATTATTAAATGTTTTTTCATGTATTTAGATGCTTGCGATTAATTTACATGTGCTTTCTGAATCTGAATGATATTTCAAATTAGTTTGCAGCAATAATTAATCTTTTATTTGTTAAGGATTGAATTTTAAATTAGCTTTATATGAATGAGATAATGATATTGTATTGTTAAATTCATATATATATATATATATATATATATATATATATATATATATATACATTACAAATATATATTATAAATGTAACTATTGTTGTACTCTATTTGTTTATTAATTTATTTATTTTTAAAAGCTGCTTTCAGCAATGAGGGATATATCAAATATTGTTCAAGAGTTGAAATCCCTTCTTATTGAGTGCAATAATGTGAGCAAAACAACTTTAGCTAATAATATTGAGCAGTACCTGAGAGCTGAAAAGGATATTTTAGATCCTGTTAAAGCTTATTTACAAAAGGAATTTCAGGTTTGTGTGCCTTTGTAATAATTTTATGTACAGTATATGCACACACACTTACATGCATACATGCTGTTGCATGTACGTATGTGTATATGTGTATGCACACAAAAACAATGATACTTGTGTCAAAGCAGTAGAATTAAGTCTATTACAATGCAAAAAAATAAGTGAACAGCATTTTGATGAAGCAACATTCACACATTCTAAGTCAAAATATAAGGCATATCATTTTATTTAAATTAAAGTAATTGATGATCAGTGTATAAGAATATGCACTATTCAGAATATTTTTAACTTGATCATACAGATGTTTTAACAAACAATTCCAAAAGATATTTTAAAAAAATACCCTGTTTTATGTTTCAAACTCTCACGTAATATAATAATACCTGCCATCATATTTGGTTGTAGTATTGTTTTTCCACATTATATGATAATAAACAATTAATTTAATAGAGAATATATAAATGAAAATTATCTCCTATGCAATGTGAAATGAAATTTAAATAACAAATGTGTAATTAAGACACACTAACACGCCGAATAAATACTAATTCAGAAGTCAAACAACAAAAATCAGCGTTATACCTACAAAATTTTCACAGGACTAGTTTCGATGGTTTTACCGAACCATCATCTTCAGCTGCAAGCTGAGCTATGCAGCTGAAGATGATGGTTCGGTAAAACCATCGAAACTAGTCCTGTGAAAATTTTGTAGGTATAACGCTGATTTTTGTTGTTTGACTTCTGAATTAACAAATGTGTATTATTGTGGAAATTATTAGTCGGAATTTATAAATAATTAAACTGGAATTGTTAATTAAAATGCAAAACTCAAAAATAAAATGAGAATTATTGCTGATTCCATAGAATGATCTCGACTCATTAAGGGCAACTGAAACCTCTCCATACAACCATCAACAAGTCATGAAAAGCATGTTTTGTCATTTTGCATAGCTGAACAAAATCAGTATTCTAATTTTAAATTTCTATTCAGTCTTATGAAACCCAAATTTTTAATCTTAAAATTTAATTTTTAAATAAAATTTTTAAAAAGTAATTAATTTTTTTCTTATTTTTCTTTACAAATAATACACAGTTATATGCATTAAATACTTTTCTCAGTCCAGTATAAAGTTCATTTCCACAGTTTTATTTTAAAACACCATAGGAGTCATATTATTGATATATAATTATCAATTTCTTTTGCTGAATGAACAGCCAGCCTCAGATTTTGATTTTTTTTTTCAGAATATCCCACATACTTTTTTTTTGCATAATTTAAACATATATCCTTTCATTTACTTTGCAATAATGAGCAAGGTAAATTAGATTTTTATAATGAGTTTGGTATTAATTGTATTTTCTAGTGTAGTCAAACTTAAGAGTTCACATTTGAGACTAGTAAAACAAAAATACCTATTATCTTGAATGACCTGCTGTCTAGAGTTGAAAGAATAGGGTTTTTTTTTCCGGGGGGGGGGGGGGGGGGGGGGGGGTACAAATGAGCAAAATAAATAAAACAGAATTGTTAATAATAATTCTTATTAAACTTTAAAAGTGTGTGTCTATTTCCCTGTGAGGCCTTTGTTATTTTAATTAAGAAAAAGATTACTTATTTAGTACAATATCGAAAGCATTTTCTTGTTCCATATTGCTGCTGTTCAACTTTTCACATTGCACCTCGAAATGCTTTTGTGTTCATTCTGAAGTCCTTTTCACATATTTGAATGCAAGGTTCTTGAAAGAATGATATAGCATCTTTTTCATTCTTTGATAAAATCAAACATTGTTAGTATTTTTTGGAAAAAAAGAAAGTGATATAAATACAGTGGCCTGTTCAAAGCTCTGATCATTATGGATACCTCATCAGTGACTAATTTTGTATCATGTTTAATGATTATCCTAAAAATTGGAACTGTATCACTAGTTACAGAAAGTTTTGACTGTTTGTTATTGGCTTTCCCCATCCTCCCAAGTTATCTTTGCAATAAAACCTGAGTGAGTTTATCTCTTAATAATAGAATTGTTCTCTAAGTTTAAAACAAATTTCCTGCCAAATAAAAAGTTTAGATTTCCGCATCATAAAATAAAATGTAATTCATGCAGTAAAAAAACATTTTAATTTTTAAAAAATTATTAAAATATAAAAATGTTTCTGTTTTATTTCTGTTTAATTAAAAATATATTCCTAGTGTGAAGAAGGTGTTACATTTTCTTTAAAAATCCCTGAACGGACTTATTTAGACGAACTGAAACAAGTGCAGTTTCTGCAAAAAGCGTAAGTTATGAAATTCTAAAATTTTCATTTATTATGTGTGAAAACTTTATTAGGTTATTTTTATGTAATATTAACTTACTTACAGTTTTATAAGGTTTTATAAGTTATTTGGTAAAGAAATCAGTTTTGCATGTTTATTTTAGCTTGAAAACTTCAAAAGCATCTGAAGTGGATGCTATTGTGGAAAGCAAGAAGTTAGAAACAACTTTAAGATTTTATGAAAATTATAAAGAATTTTTCCAGAATTTGAATATTTCTTCTGTTGCACTGGAGTAAGTTATTTGCTAGTAATTCCTTTTTTCTCACTGAATACTATTTTTATGATTAATATAGCATAAAATAATATAATCTGAAACTCTGTAAGCAGTGCATTATAGTTGTCATCATTATTATTACCGTGATTACAATTTATTTCAGGAAAAAGTTCGATAATGTTTTGGTTTCAAATATAAAGTTGCAAAAAGAGGAAAAAGAATTAAAATTATATCTATCGGATATTATTTCTCAGGAAGTTGATGTACAATGTTGTCGGGTCAGCACTGGATGCAAAAAGGAAATGTTACGTTATATTCAATATAATGAAGACAAGCTACAGCCGGTAAGACTAAACTTTAAAAGCTTTTTATTGAAATGAAAAATAAATACATATGACTTATGATAATTAGCATTATACTGATAATATTTAATACATGTTTGAAGAAATTTTCATAGATGCAACACAATACCCTCCCCCCCCCGAAAACTGTCAGCAGTTAGCATAGCTTATAAAAATGTGTTCACTAGTATAAATATTTTTATGGAATATGAAATTTAAAATTATAATGACATATGATTCTGGAAAACTGGCTGGAGTATATAAAAGATTTTAGACACCTTGTAAAATAAGGGACTAAATTTTAAAATATTTAAATGCATAAATATAATTTCAAAGTAAAACTTAAATATTTTATCATATATGCTGCAAGTTTCCATGTTAAAAGGTAGTACTAAATATTAACACATTTGGATGCACAGGATGTAGGCATAGCTTTGAAAAAATTGCAGATTCTATTTTAAAAGCATAAAGCTAGACATTAAAACAATAATTATGCTTGCACCTGAATTTCCAAAAATGTATATAAACGTTAACAGAAACATAAGATATCAATCTGATATTGCCTAAAAATATTGCCTAAAAAGCCTGAAAAATTTCTTTTACAATAATCAAGAACTTCTTATATTATCATATAATTCTTAAATGTTGAATTGTAACACTGATAATATCTCCAAGGGATTTTCAATAATTTATTAAACTTTGATCTTAATACACTTTTATACTAAATATCCAAAATAAGTTTCTCACGCAGTTTTCTTTGACTTCTGTGCAATAGGCACTTTCATCAGTTAAATGCTATTTTCAGCTGGGGAGAAAATATTTGTTACTGCATTGAAACCACTCCTATATGACAATTTTAATACCATCATCATCATTAGTATGAATAATGCTAGTACTGATTCAGTTCTGAAAATTAAAGGGCCACTTCTAACCAAATCTGATGAACAGGGTACATAAGGAAGAAGCTGAAATTTCTCTTGCTGAGTACTAATTGGGAAAATTTGAGCCTTAGATGCAGGTGTGTTATCATGCCTGCTGAGTTCATCACAGTATTTTCCTTCTGCATCTAAACAGAGTTAGGTTAAAAGTTAGCATAATTAATAGTTGTTACAGCAGTAAATAACTAATAAGCAATGCTAGTGCCAATTCAGCTCTAAAAAAATTACAGGAAGGGAAGAAATGGCACTTCTGGCCAAATCTGGTGAATAGGATAGGTAAGTAAGAAGTTGAAATCCCCGTGCTGAACAGTAATCTGGGAAACTTAAGCCTTACATGCAGGTGTGTTATTACACCTGCTGTGCTTGCCACAGTATTTTCCCTCTTTTATAGCTAGCTGGAGTTAGGCTAAAAGTTAGTCTAATTAACATTTGTTATTGCAGTAAGCAATTAACAAGCAATAGTTCCTCTTCATGTCTCAAAAATGGTAATCAAAATCATTTCAGTGGCTTTGTTCTGAACTTGTGGATCTAGTGTCTTATTTTGATAGTCTTATTGTCACTGGCTGTTAATAAAAATTTTCTTCTTTAGTGTTTATCATGGGTAACCACTAAACAAAATTAATCTGTTTTATCTTCATTCCTATTTTCAGCATTCAAGGTATAATTTCAGCATATACTTTCAACGTGCCCAACCTTTCATGTACAATTTTTGTGTAACAATGGTGCCCATTTCTTTTACAGTCTGATAAGCTGTAATGTGTCAATTTTCCATAGCATACTCCTTAACTTATACATTTTTTTGTGGGTCATGCTCATCTCATCTAGGATCATCTTTGAATGATATTGTGTCCAGTCTAAATGTAGTAGTCAACATTTTAGTTGTTTAGAAAAATATCTAATCATTAAAAATTCCAACCATATATTAACCGTAAACCTAAATATTGCATGTGTTTTATCTTCTATTTTCAAAAACTCAGTTATTTAATGATGTTCGATGATTTTAGCTGACTAACAATATTTCACAGCCTCACATAAATCAATTGATAATTAGTGGCCGTTCTTGCATTCATTTTTATACTTGTGAAGGATAATGCAATTGCTTCTTCTGCATTCAATTTATTAATTTTCAGGCATGAAACACAGTGATTAAGCTGTAAAAATTAATTTTTATGTAATATGAAGCACATTTTTTAATGCGATAATTTTTCTAGTATGAATCAGAATGAAGATCTTAAATCCATACCAATGAATAAAATGAATTTCTAATTTACATAAATATAAATTTTACTACATAATACTTCATATAAAAATTTTAACAAGCTCTCAAGTATGCAAAATGGTAATTTTGAAAAATAATTATATTTAAAGGTGACTGTAAAGCATAAATTTGGAAAGACATAAATTCCTTTAAAATGTAATGTATTTTGTATAGAAATATATATTTGAAATTGGAAGTTTATCATCATTCCTTATTTATAAAAACGTTATAAATAAATATAGAAATATTTCTGGAATATAATACTTATATATATATATGTGTGTGTGTGTGTGTGTGTGACTTATTTTTTAGTCAATGGAAGCTTTAGAAAATCAGAGAACGAGACTAGAATATTTAGTGTATCGGCAAAGTATGAGCATAAGGAATTTGGTTAATTTAAAGCAACTAATGAAACAAACATCAAATCTCATAGAAAAGGAACATGCTGAATTACTTAATAGAAAGGTTTGAATAAAAATTTTGTTTCTTTTGGTTAAAAATATTAGAAAAGTATCAGTTTTGATGAAATATATATAATATTTTCTGAAATATTTGTATATATATGTGTAATTATTTGCTTAAATTTTGTAAAATTTTATTTATAAAACTAAGAACTTTTGTGATGCAAATAAATGTGCATATTTTGATTAATTTTAACTAGCAATAATTAATAGAAGTGTATTTAAAATGAGTCATAAATAAGATGTAATAATTTTTTTCATTAGTTAAAATTTTAATTCTTTTATATTATAATTAATTGCTGACCACTCAAATGTTTAATTTCAATGATTTGGTAATGTAAATATAAACAGAAAATCTTTTTATGCTTAATATCTTTTCAAAACGATCTAATGTAATTGTGTATACTCTGAGCAGAAGAGTTTTATGAAGTATAGCAAACCATCTCATAGCAACTACCTATCACTAACAGTTACTTCTAAAATTGGTCCTTATTTCTAAGAACACTAAATTGATGATTATAACATTCTGCTCTAAGAGGACCATTCTCTAACCTGCCAAATACATTTATTTGCAATTACTCTAATGTTTTAATTTTAATATGAATATAAACTATTTCAAGTAGGATAAAAATTGAGAAATGTGTCCCAATAAGGGAAAATAAATTAAGAAAGTTGCTATTTATGCACTACTGAAACAAGTTTTATCCAACATATTAGGGAATATATTTAGGGAAATATTTATATTTTAGGGAATATATTTAGGAATATATAAGGAAAATATTTAGGGAGAAAGTTGCTTTTTATATGATTCTGCAACAGTTTTTGTCCATACCTCAGCATAATGTAATATATTATAGACTTGTTTGGGATGTAGTAGACAAATAATTCATTAGATTCATGGCTTGTTACTAGTGTTACTGCATATTTCTGCTTTTTGGGTAATTGCAGTCAATCATGCTTATTTCAAAATATTCAAGCATGGATGCTTGAAATTTTACATTTTAAATTTTGTAAATCTTGGGTGATTAACCTTATCTTAAGGATATCTTTAAAATATAAATAATTAAATTTACAAACACATGATTAAAATTATCAAAAGTGCTATTGGTGATCTATTACAGAAAAAGTTGACAAAAAAGTACAACAGATACTTGATTTATTGTATAAACCGTAGATCGCTTTAAAAAAAGGAAATGGTTGACAAAAGAGAAAAAAGTCGAATTTGATTCTTGGATCAACATTTTAATAAGCAATGATTGTTTTTGAAATTTCTAAGAATAATTTATAGTCTACGATATCTTATCTATGATAAGTGTTTCCCCTCTTACACATAAAATCTGTTTTCTGTATTTTAATATATGATTTGCTTAAATTATTTTAGAAAATTTAGTATAAGAGAAATTTTTTCTCAAGTTTTGTTTTCCTTACTGTATTCAGGGTTCGTACAGTCCTTAAAAGTCCTTAATTTTTTCAAAAATGATTTTTGGTCCTTAAAAGTCCTTAATTTTGGCCAAAATGAATAAACGGTCCTTAATTTTGCTCATTTGACATTTCTTATCATTTCTAATGATTGCCATTCTATGTGTGAATTGCGATTTCTCATGAATATGGAATTAAAATTACACGGCTCTTAACCAATCTGTTGGCGGATTTGCGTTGCAAACGATAAAAAAAAAAAAAAACAAATTAGCTACCCGAACGAAAGTATCGGTGTCTGATTGGCTATTCACCCAATCTTTCGAAACAGGTGTTATCCATAAATTTAGGCAGATTGTGACGAAAGCGTGAAGCCGGAAGTTCTTTAAGAGGCGAAAAGTGATGATGAAGGTGCTCGAGAAAAAAAAAAGGGGGGGGATTCTGAAAATATTTGCCAAAATTAGAGCAATCCCAACCTGGAAGGCCACAGAACCCTTCCGACGCCAATAGGAACGAGATGCCTGGAAAGTGCATTTTCAATAAACTGTGGCTTCATCAAGCTGACTACAAAGACTGGATATTGATGGATGACAATCCTTATAAAGCTAAATGTGGTCTTTGTCTGAAACAAATTGAAATTTCTAGAATGGGAGAGTCAGCGCTGAAAATTCACATGAAAATTAAGTTTCGTTTTATCATTTCAATTTGTTTTTACAACGGTTTTGCTTAGCTTAATTTCTGTGTTTGTTTCAATTAAGCCATAAATTAACTTTTTATCACCTTCTGCGGAGTTTATTCTCTTTTGCACATACTATATGTATGGGATATCGGGATTATGAGTTTATTTCTGCAGAGGGTCTGTTATCGATTTCGCGCGGAAATCTGTTGGCTCCATTTCGATTTTAGGTCGCCAAGGGCAAATTCGGTAACGCTAGCCGAGAAAAAGTGAAGTTCGGAAATACGTTTTGAAGCTTCAATAGACAATTAAGTATTTGGTTTAATCCTATGCTGTTGATAGTAATGCATTATTTTTGCTAATGGCGATACAATTATTAGTTGAAAACAACTAACTAATTAAAAATTTTTTTAAATATTTTAAAGCTGAAAACAACTAATTGAAACTAATTTTCCTGAATTTAACTAGATGCAAAATTAACTTTCATGAATATTTACTATATAAATTAAATTAAATCAAAAATTTGAACAAAAATTTAAAAAAAAAAGAGCTTAATATTTATATGTTTACTTTATTAAACATTTCTTTCAATGTGAGTTGTTTTTTGATTTGTTTTCTCTGCTGATACTTTAGACTAATACTATAGACATATAATTTCTTGTTGAGTTATTAAGTTCCATTGTTCAAGTCCTGTAATTGCTGTGTCGAGAATTCCGAATAACTTGTCAATCAAAATTTTTTCTCATTCAGTAACCTCTCTGTTACTTTCTTCACTATCGGTAGCTGTATTTTCTGGATTTAGAACCATACTACAGATTTCGCCCTCCGTTAATTGATTGATGATTGGGGCATTGTCATCGCAATGAAAAACTTCTGTTTAACTTTCCTAAATTCTGCCGCCTGGTGCGGCCATGCGAGCTCTGGCGCTGGTTCTGGCTTTATGTGAATAACAAATCAGTTATTCTTAATTCAAATAGCACTAAATATAATCGTTTGTCCTATGAGTATCATTAACAAAATCTATTTTCAGCATAAGGAAAGAAATTTCTGTTAAATCTCCCCTTGTCAACATTTTAGCGCATTAAACTTAAATCTGTAATCGGATAATACTCTGTTATTTGGCGTCGCTGCATGAGTCATCACTCAAGTTGTCATCCGTTGATAAACATGCGGTGATGAAAGCAAAATACAATAAATAATGATTCGCGATTTCGGCATCAAGGATATAAAATATTGGTGTAAAATTAACAAATGTTTCGGTTTGAGATTATGCCAAGCAGATACGCAGCTATGGAGTCAAGTTACTAATCACACAAATTTATGCTAAAATAATTATTTCTTCAATAATGAGATATTTTATTTAGCGCCAAACTGAGATTAAGAATCGGGATTTCCGACATGTTTTTTTATGATGAGGAAAAAAATCTAATGCGCATGCGTAAAGCATACCCCTTCCCTCCAAAAAAGCCCTAAAAAATTGGTTGGTGGTGGCTTTGAGGTCCGGATTTTAGATCATTCCAGATATTGGATGTCCGGATCTCGGAATTTGTACTGTATATATATATATATGTACTATATATATAAATAGTAAAAAATATATAATTTCAGTATACATTTCTTATTATATATATATATATAGATAGATAGATAGATAGATACATTATATACATATATATGCGATACTTAATTTTACTAATGCCTTGCATGTAATGCCCCTTTTAGCTGCAAAACATCTTTCCCTTCTCAACTGCAGAGTTTCTTCTAACAGTATCATGAATTTTGTCAAGTTAGAAGAACCATCTACTTCAGGAAAAGATGTAACTGCTAATTCAACATCAATAAGTGTAGAAAATAATAAAATAAATTCTTTTCTTTTCAAATCTGAAGTTACAGATGCAGAAATATTGTGGGCTTTTAAGTGCATCAAAAGCCACTATTCTTTTAAATCGTGCGATGATATTGGGCCTTTATTCACTAAAATGTTCCCGGATAGTTCCATTGCAAAATAGTTTTCATGTGGTGAAAAGAAATGTGCTTATATCTGTTATTTTGGTCTTGGCCCTTATTTTAAAACTTTGTTACTAAAGCATTGTAAAAATGCTGAGTTTTTTACATTACTATTTGATGAGACTCTTAATCTGACAAATCAAAAGAAGCAACTAGATATTTATGTGAGGTACTGGCATCACGAAAATAAGGTCAGAACTCCTTACTTCTGCATTTATGGGGCATGCAAAAAGTGAAATTATTTTATCCAAATTTTATGAATGTGTAAAAAAACTAGACTTGTCAAAACTCTTACAAATATCGATGGATGGTCCTGCAGTAAACTGGAAATTTTATGATTTATTGCAACAGGACTTGACAAAGGAATATATCATTCAATGCTTGACATTAGGGACATGCGGTTTACACATTCTTAACAATGCTTTCAAGCATAGGATGTCATCCACTGGCTGGGACATTCCATCATTCTTATCCTCCTTATATTGGATTTTTAAAGATTCTCCTGCAAGACGTGAAGATTTTTTAAGTATATCTGGCTTAAAAAAGCTACCTGTGAAGTTCTGCTTTTACCGATGGTTGCAAAATGTCCCAGCAGTTGAAAGAGCCATTGAAATATGGGATGACTTGCTACTGTACTTTAAAAAAGTTGAAATGGGGAAGTTTAAAAAAAAAATTCATCGAAATCCTTCTCAAATATTTTGGAGGCAACTAAAGATAAAACATTTCTTATAAAATTAAATTTTTTTCTCTCTCTGTCGAAAATATTATTGCCTTTCCTTGAATATTATCAAAGTGATAAACCACTTATTCCCTTTTTTGCTGAAGATATCTTAAAACTTGTAAATGATTGCCTTCAGCACTTTAAAATTTTGAAACTAGAATATTCAAAAATAACTAAAGCAAGAAAATCTTTATAAATTTAATTTTAATGATCCAAATTGTTATGATGATAAAAGTAAAGTTTATTTGGGATTCCATTGCTGAGCAGTTAATGAATGATAAATGCTGCACAAAAGGACATTTCACAAGCTGAAAGTTTTGCATTGAAACAAGGTCAACAATGTGTCTTAACAATAGTACAACACTTAATGTCTAAATGTCCAATAAATTATTCTCTTATTCGAAATGCATCTTGTATAGACCCGCGATTGATGGTTAAAAGTCCAGAAAAAGCCCAGAACAAAATGAAAATAGTTCTAACGGTATTAATGCAAGAATAAACGTGTTTTACAAGATGATTGGGATGAAATTCTGCTGCAGTTTGGAGAGTTTCTAGACAAAGTAGTTAAGACAAATTTACATGAATTTTCTACTTTTGATCCTCAAAATCTTTAACTTGACACATTTCTCACTTCTTATTTTCATGATTTTCACTATTCAAAAGTATGGAAAATAGTGAAAATGATTCTTATCTTGTCACATGGACAGGTCTCTGTGGAAAGGGGCTTCTCTGTAAATAAAACAATTGAAATTGAAAATTTAAGTGACTCATCATACATTTTTCAATGCACAGTATTTGATTACATAAAATTTTAATAATAAAATATTCTTACATTTAATTCTTACATTAATAACAAAATATTCTTACATTTTGATTATAATAGTAGTTGACTGTGTTTAAATAAATATCAAATAAGTTAATAATAATCATGTAAATCTCTAAAACAGTGACTGTTATTAGTGTAAAATACACTTATACATGTTTTTAAAGAAATTATGTTCCTAATTTAATGTTATCTACTTCATAACTTGTAGGGAGTTAGTTTAATTTTCAATATTGTTTTATGGTAAGTATTAAAGTGAATTTAATAATAGTGCATAATACACACTTTTGTTAGTTTCTTAAAGTGAAATTACAAGCATGAAGTCGGTTGTATGGATAATTGCTTTATTCTATTTGTTTTTTTGTTTGCTGATAGGTCCTTAATTTTTTCTTTGATGGTCCTTAAAAGTCCTTAATTTTCATGTAAGGAAATGTGTACGAACCCTGTGTATTACTCATTACTTCTATTTATGGTTAATATAATGATATTAATAAACTATAAAATGAAGCAAATCATAGACATTAAGTTATACCCTAATTGCTTAAAAGCTGCATCAATTTTAGAAAAAAATAGCTAATTAATTAAAAATGGTTCTTACTTATTAGTTACCTGGAGACAAATCTTCATATGAAGACCAATGGATTTGTTTTTGAGAATATTTTCTTAAAAACAGCCCTCTAAGGCAAATACAGGAAACCTGTTCTATAAATGTTGACTTTATATCATTTTGCTCTTTAATTGCTTGCAAAAACTATGTCAAATATATCAATCTTAGCAGTCAAAAATAATGTCTTACTTTAAGCTTCTCAGATCAACTGTACAGCATCACAAATTTCAACTTTCGATGCTGAAGAAAGTAGGCACAAGGTATGTTCAGGATGTGACCTGAAAGATACAAATGATGGTAAGACAGATGAACTTCATTCTCTTTGGCCTATTCTGTAAGCCCTATGCTCTCTGCAACTATGAATTATCATTGCTGCCACCATTTTAAATCAATGTTTTCAATATTCACCTGCCCCCCTGATATTCACCCTGAAGATCGAATTGCACTGTACATATAATATTTCTTTTATGGGGATTGTGTATTTTTAATGTCATAATTCCTTTCCAAAATATCATTTAGTGTAATTTAATAGCTTTCTTGCAGTTCTGCGAATAAGCAGAACCATTTCTCATGTAAATCCATGATAACTGCTTCTTTAGTTTTTGTCATTATGACTATGGAAGGTTTCATAGAAATATTGGGCCTTCACAAAACTAAAGAAACTTGTATTCCTAAAATACTGTGCCTACAATAATAAAATTATGCATCCATCTACATGTCACAAATAATATAACAAGAGGCAAGTGTAAAACATAGCTACAAAAATTAATGTCCAAATTTGCTTCAGTAAAAGAGAGAGAAGTGATTCACAGTTAAAATACTATAAGTTAAACGGTATTTTAATTGTGAGTCAATTCTCTTGAAATAGTAATATGAAGGTTGTAGAGGCATTATATTAGGTTTTTTTAATGCGAAAAATGTGCAGTGCTCTTGCCAGGATAAGAACTCTGGACTTCCTGAATATGCATTGAGTATGCTTCCAGTTACTCCATGAAGGCATGTGGAAAGAAGGGAGAAAGTATCTTATATACATACCCTTTCAAAGTGCAACTGGGGATGAGGGGACCCAATCGCCAAGTCATGGTGGTGACGAATTATTGTCCACTACCATTTGGTTCAGGCACCACTGTAGAGTCATTAGCTTTTTTGAATGCTGGATATGTGAAAAATGTGCAATGACCTTACTGGACTATTAGCAAAATGATTTAAACTCCGGAACCCCCAACAATGCATCAAGTGTGCTTCCGGTTACACCCCAAAAGCCTGTAGAAAGGAAGGAGAAACTATCTTATGAAGTGTTGATAAATATTCAAATTTTATATATATTTCAAATTGGCCAAAGTGTTCAGAATTAAAATGAAAGTGTTAAAATCAGTCTGTGCGGGTTTGGCAAGATGTCTGATGGCTATAACGTTCATTTTCAGGGCTTTTATGCATAAAGATAATAATTTTACATAGATGATTTATAAATTTAATTGTATTAATTTGTGTATTTGTGCCATTAATGCTGTTCACATTTTAAGTCAAAAAGGAGAAAATTGTTCAGAGAATTATTAAAGGTTTTTTTAAAGTATTATAGCTTATTTTGACAGTTTTATTTAATGCCACATTTTTTGTTTATATTTCCAGGTTCAATATCAAGAAAAAATAAATAAATGTCATGAGAAGAGTGAATATTTATCCGAAAATTCCATCTTTGTGTCATTATATAAAATTCTAAGTAAGAAAATATTTTGTAATTTCACTGTTCATATTGCACAAATGAATAACGAAGACTTACTGAAAATGCAACAAAAACAAAACACTTTTCATTCACTTTTCAAGCTGGAAATAATCATTAATTAAAGTGGAATTCCTTGCTACCCATGAAAGATCTCTGCATTATGCTAAAAAAAGAGACATAAATATTCTGTGGAATGTATACTTGAGAACTGTGGTGTAAAATTTATAACTCTGTTCCTTCAGCATAAGCATGTGTAAATCTTTGAATTTATAAATTTTTTTATTCAGGATTTTTTGGGGCTATTTGTTGTTACAGCAAGAACTGCTCATATGATATTTATTTTTGGTACTTTTCCGTTTCGCCGGCACAAATCTCGCTAAGCGGGTTTTATTGGTGACAACATACATATAAGGTTACCTTCATTAAGAACATAGTAGAACATGAATTAAACATAACTAAGTACTTTATTTTACTAATATGAAATAAAATGAATGAAAAGATAAATTAAGTAAAAGTTAATAGTTCAGCTGGTAGTTAACCTCACAATAATTAAACTCAGTCCAAGCAGGATTCAATTAATGATGATCATTTTTCACACATTATCAGTCCTCAATAAATACATTCAGAAGGCTCATCTGCTCTCATATGGCTAGGGAACATGTCTTGTTCTCAGCACTTCCAGCGCTCGTCTGCTGCTCTGCGCTAAGCTGTGATGACCTCATGCCTTGCTGGGTACAAGTAGAGGGAGTCGAAGAATCTACTTCCACATAGAGTGTACATATAAAAAATGTTAACAAATGTTCTAAATTTTTTTTTATTTTGAAGGCATAAACATTTTAATATCACTTAAAATTAAGCCAATAAATAAAGACAATAAATTTGTAAAAAGACATTAATTTAAGAATTTACTATGCATTCATGGTTCAACATCCTGATTCACCAGTTCATATCACATGACCCAAATGATCTCATCTCACGTAAATTATGCTACAAAAATCTAATTCTCTCAGTATTTATCTACATTAATTTCAAGTTAAATCTTAATTAGGAATACAAGTTTAAATGCAAGAAACATTTTAATTCGTATGAATAGCTTACTCAGAAATTATGTAAAACCACAGTACTTTACTTCGCTAGTGCATTCTCATTGGAATTGATGAATTTAACACTTGACTTTGCCTTTTCTGTATTTTCGGATGAGCGGTGTGATAGCACCCTAATTGAATTAATTACCGCGAATGGCCTTAGGGCATAAAATTGAACTATCTGATAAAAATTCTATGTAATTGAAAGCCTGTATTGAAAGAAACAATCAATCTGATAAGAGATGGCTGCAACTTGTTTTGAAAATGAGGCCTAAAAGGTTACCAGCGAGGATATTCCGTTTGGCTTCGATAGTACTATTATTGGCGACTTTATCGCCTGCGCCGGCAAAACGGAAAAGTACCTTATTTGTAATATAATTTCAAGAGCAGTTTTTTAATTGCTAGGAAATAACGTAAGCACATTGATCAGTTCTAATAAGTAAGGACAAAATAAATGCTTGTAATACATTTGATTACATTAATGCATTATTTTGCATTACAGATAAAATATTAATATCCTACAATTATTCAGAATCCTACAGAATATTCAATTAGTTCTATTTTTAGTCTAACTATTCATTATAATAATTAAAATTTTAATGCATTTATGATTATATATATATATATATAAAACTAATATTAATTCAAGTATTATATTTATATATTTTAAGCTCACACAGAAGATTTGAAAAAGCTAGATATGTCTCATGTTCATTTAGATGATGTTTTGAATGCAGTTCTTAAGTTTCATAAAGAAACATCAAGTATAGACGAACATTTCAATGAAAATTTGAAGGCAGTTGACTCCATGTAAGTACAATCTAGATTATGAATTTTATTTTATTTTGATTAATTTTTTTTCACCATCAAAGGAAAAAATCAAGATAGAGGTATCTATAAATATCCAAGTTATGCAATAAAATATGAAAACATTAAAAATAAGGTAAGCCAAATAATTACATCTGTAACACACACACACAAAATTAAAAATGTATAGCTAATTTTATGGAAGTGAATATAAAAATTAATCATTTTGTTGAGACATTAGGTTATTTCAAAGCAGGAAAGATGAAAAATGAGGAATGCCCTCGCCAGGACTCAACCCACGGTCCTCTCAAATATGCATCGAGCGTGCGACACTATGAAGGCATGCTAAGAAGGCAGGAGAAATACCTTACATACTCCCCATTTTAAAGGGTGACTGGGGTTTTAGAGGCCCCAATTGCCAAATCCTTGTGGGGAGAATCGTCAAACCACCTTTTTAGTTTGGGTGCCACTGTAGAAATATTAGGATATTTTGGAAGCAGAAGAGATGAAAAAAAGTGAGCAACGCCTTCACCGGGATTTGAACCACGGACATCACGAATAGGCGCCGATCGTGTTGACCACTACACTACTAAAGCATGCTAAGAAGGTGGGAGAAATACCTTATATACTCCCCCTTTTAAAAGGCAACTGGGGTTTTGGTAACCCAATCGCCAAATCCTGGTGGTGGAGAATTGTCATCCACCACCTTTTTTAGTTCAGGCGCCACTGTAGAGACATTAGGATTTTATGGAAGCAGAAGAGTTGAAAAAATTAGCAATGCCATCGCTGGGAATCGAACCACAGACCTCTTGAATATGTGCCGAGCGTGCTGACCACTACACCACGAAGGCACGCTAAGAAGGTGGAAGATAATGGAGAACATTTCAGCATTGTGTTTTACAGCAAACTGATTAGTATTTGAAACATTATTATAGTCATTTATTAAATTCAAAATTTTTTCTTGTGCTATTCAAATTGGTTTCTGGCTTCCTATCTAAAGATTTTTTTAAATGAAGACAAAAATGAAATATGTTGCCTTATTAATCCTCCAAAAAATACTTCTGGTACACAGATATCTTCTTAAATATACTTAAATTTTTCCTGACATACATAAAAACTCATTGTATATTTCTGTGAGTTAGGCTGTGTTAAAGGCGGTTTAACTGCATGGTTATAAATTTGTTCAATAAAAAATTCTAGTCAGTTTTGATTGTCAGGGGACTAAAAATCAAAATTAAATCGGACATATCAATAAATCAAAGACAATAGAGCTTTAACATGAACTAAATGCTAATTTTTTTTCTTTGTACTTCTCCGTTATGTAGTTCTCTTATGTTTTAAAAGACACATCAATTAAAAATTCGTTCTGTTTCATTTTAGTTTTTAAAATAAATCTAGCCATTTCTTTATCAAGAGTAATGAATGATTTAAAAAAATTCTCATCTACAGAGAACTTCATAAATATATATATATATATTTTTGAACTTCAAAGTTTCATTCTTTTCAGTTTGTGGATTTTGGACACAAACTTCGCTGAATGCCATTTGAGAGGAAATGTTAATGCAAGTCTTCTTGCATGTTAATGCTAGTCTAAGATTGCAACAAGCAATCCCATTAAGTAAATGCAGAACTACATCTTAGTAAATAACTTAGCCTTTCATTTGCATAAAACTTCATATGGCATTAATTTACAGCAGAATAATATTATAGCAAATTTTTGTTCCTAAATAACTAAGCCTTCCATTTGCATAAAACTTCATATGGCATTAGTTTATGTCAGAATAATATCATAGCAAATTTTCATTCTTTCTGTTCTCCTCCTGAAAATTATTCACAAGGCAATGCACCATATTGCCATATAGGCAACTCGTGATGTCAACAGAATAGAGCTATGTGGCAACTCAGGTATGTGCCCACAGTGAGCAACAGCTGATTTTTGGCTTCACATTTACCAGTGATTTTCCTGAGTAATGTTTGGTTTGTCACATTCGAGTATATATATATATATATATATATTTCTTGTGAGGAATTTTAATGGGACTTGAGTTTGCCGGCTGATGAAAAAGAAAGTGTTGGATATCTTCAGAAATGTAGCGTTTTGCAAAAATTCGCAGTCTATAAGGTCGTACTTTTTGAATGACTAAATTTTATGAATCAAAATTTGTGCAATTCTTTAATTTTTTTTTAAGTGAGACCAGATCACTGTTTCCATAGAAAGAACAGTTCCCTCTCTTCAAAAAAGGTTATTTTATTATGGATGTTTTGGGGTTTTTTATATAATTCCTAGTGCAGTGCCATTTTTTAAAATGGCTGTTGTCTTTCACACATTAGCTTGGCAAAAAATTAGTCACCAGTGGTTGGTGACTTTTTGGAAGGAAGGGTAAAAAGAAGTACTGTAAATTTAGTATGGCAAATTTAATTGCAATATTTTATGTATAGTACTCACCACTTATTAAACTCACTGGTTAATTAACTCAGCCACTTATTAGTTTCAAATTTCCAAGAACCAAAAGAAATAAATATTAATCAACAGAAAAACAGCTGTTTATTAACTCAGCTCTGCCATTTATTAAACTCAGACTGGCAAAAGGCTGATTCTTTAGTGATGAAAATATCCTAATTGTACCTATCAAAGCTTCCATATTTTACCTATTTACTGTATTATGGATGGTGACTTTATGATTTGGGTATGTAATTCTTCAATAAATTGGGTTTGACCAAAATTTTTTTACCCCTCATCCCTGTACCTGTGAGACTTTGGATGTTGTTTTCCGAGTTCTTTGCCCTCAGAGGATTTTAGAGCGCAGAATTTCCTTATTTTTAGGTTAACAAAAACAATTCTGAATACCAGCTTATAGAAGGTGATAGTGCAAATTCTGTATCCCATATCTTAATGGTTCTATCTTTAAGATCCTCCTCTTGGAATAGATACATTATGTTCACAAAGAGTTATAAAAATTCTTCATGTAATGCTTCTAAGCATTACCATTAATTGATGGGCTTTGGATGGAGCATAAATGGTAACTGTAGACTAAAATAAAGGAAGGAAAGCATGAAAAATGCTTGTAATCATGAAGTGGCATATTGACTGAATAAACAAAGGGCAATCTTTCTTTAAATTTTGAAATTTGAATAAATCATTCAAAATGCCAAGCAAAAAGATGCCTGAAATGTCTAAAAGGAAAGGATAAGTTGTTAAAACATTTTATTGTTCTTGATAATTGCAGCCAAAAAAAACTACATATTAACTGCAATTTCCTAAACAGCATTGTGCGTTTACTTAAACAAAGAATTATAATTAACGAAGAACTAGCTGCAAATGCAAGTATTCACATGTGAATTTTAATTATTTAGTCATTATTGAACTCATATTGAGTAAGTACTTTAATTTCTTGTCAAACAGGTTTCCCTCTCTTTATGATAGTGCACAGCATGGGTGAGGAAAATTCAGCTAGCAAATAAAGAATCACATGCAAAGCGTAGTTATATTTCTTATTGGCACCACTGAGTAAAGAAAAAATACATTTATTATTCTATATTCCAGTTATGGGTTAAAGATTATTTTCATCATTCCATAAATTTGGGTTATTTCTTCAACACAATGCAATGTGTATGTATCTATTTAAAGAATATTTGTGTTTTAGGCACATACAATTCATTCAATATCCCCCTTTCCAACATTTTCCGAATGTGAATTTTCCACTGTAGCTTTTGGTTTTCCCATATTAACATTTGCTGTCATAATACTCCTTTTAACACTAATGAAAAATGAAAATGTCTTTAAGGAAATGCAAAAGAGAGAGAAAACTGAAAAACCATTGTAATTGTTTTTCTATAATCATTTTAAGCTATGAAGCCAAAAAATGTTTGTATTTCTAGAGCTTTTTTCATTAATTTGCTATATGCCAGGAGAGAATTTTGTGTCAACCGACATATGCTTCACAAGTTGCAGGAAGAGAAATTCAACATTATTCATCACACTTAGATACTTCTAGATCCCAGGTTCGAGCCTCACAACTGGATTTTTCAAATTTACTGCTTATCCATGGACTTTTCAACTTTTCAAACTTTCTGCTCCTTTTAGGACCCCTTACTCATATTTTTCCTGACCACCAAATGACTGACTTCGCTCAGAGCTCTTTTTCCACATGCGAACGATAGGTGCAAATAAGCATCTTATTTTTGCTCACATGCACAAAAGTCCTTTGCCATACTTAATCTATCTTATTAAAACTCATTAGAAGTTGCGTACCAGAATAGCAAATTCTGATTCTGCTAAATGAATACAAGGCATGCAAAATTTACTATACAAAACTGAACTGACTGTGTTACAGAACATTTCTAGAACACACATTAATAGTTAAAAGAGAAACTGCAGTTGGTTTAAGAAACTGACGGAATAAGATAATGTTTTATAAGCATGCGATATGTACCCGACAATTAAGGTAGCACTGGTTATTGACAAAACCCTTGATGTTTGAAGAAAAGTCAAGAATTTATTTCTGATGTGCCATAACAACAAGAACTCATGGAAGACAAATAATATTTTTACTGATTTTCTTTTGGAATGGGAGAGCAAACTGAAAAATGGAAAAATATCTGTGCAGCACATGCATATCTTTTTGAAAAACATTAGCATCTTTTCTTGCAAATATAACTTCTAACATTCAACCTTTAATTTAAGGGTATTGCAAAAGCTTTCAAATGTCATTTTAAAAAAGATGCATTGCAAATGATGAAGATAATTGAATTTTATGAAAAAAGTGAGCACTCGATACTCGAAAAGTCGATATCTCTGTTTGAGGCTATGCATATTAAGTTAGTGCAAGGGATGAATCTCTTAAAATCATTTAAAAAGTATTTTTGAAATATTACTTTTACACAGAAGAGGCTAATAACTAACTGCAGTTATAGTCTGAAGAGGAACTGCAGACTATAACTGATATTTCAGATATCAACAAGGATTCATTTTAGGAGATTTGTCAATTAACAATATTGAGACA